ATTCAAAACGAGGACCCAACACCACTGGATGGTTTGGAACAATTGTCTTTCAACGAACAAGTTGCCAGGTTTCTTGGAGTTCCGCGCGCACGACCTCACCATCACGCACATCAGCGCCGCCGCATCATGTCATCGTCGTCGACAATTGCCGCAATTGTTGCCATCATTACTCAAGCATCTTGATCATCTTCATATGGACATCATCATCATCATCATCATCATCATCATCATCATCATCATCATCATCATCATCATCATCATCATCATCACCGGCGTTACCAACATCGGCGCCGTCATTGGCCTTCCCGTCGTCATCGCCATCATTGCCACCACCATCGCTACTATCACCATCGTGGTTGTGCCAAACCAACTGGCCGCTACCCGCGCGAGGTTGCGCGCGCCAGCGCGGCCGCAAAGATAAGCCAGCCATGGCCAATCAGTCATCGCAATCGCCGCCGCACGGGCTTTGCAAACCAAAGTAGGGGGTCAGTGGGATCATTGCGCGAGCACTGGAGTTGACAATTCATGAGTCATGAGCTGGCTAAACATGAATGCGCCACATAGCTTACACAACATCGTGTTTACCATAACCCATAACCGTCCATGAAAGAGAGAGAGGGAGACAGACAGACAGACAGACAGACAGACAGACAGACAGGCAGACAGACAGACAGACAGACAGACAGACAGACAGACACACAGACAGACAGAGACAGACAGACAGAGACAGACAGACAGACAGACAGACAGACAGACAGACAGACAGACAGACGGACGGACGGACGGACGGACGGACGGACGGACGGACGGACTGACAGACAGACAAAGAGACAGACAGAATCTCTCTCGGGCTCCCACGTCGCTGAGGCGCCTCCCAGCCACGCCTCGAGGGCGCGCCCCAGCCGCGCCTGGGGGACGAGGGCCATGACGCGGAGAAAAGTGGCCGGCGCGCGCCGCCGAGAGCGCAAGAGGGGGGAAGGGGGAGGAGGAGGAGGAGGAGGAGAGGGCGGAGGCGTCGCCCCGCGCCGGCTGCGGCCGCAGCGCCGCCCCAGCCGCCGGCGGCCGTGCGCGGCCTGGAGGGCCGCACCAGCGTCGGGCCCTGGCTCGCGGCCTGGCGGGCCCAGACGGACAGACAGACAGACAGAGAGAAAACAAGAGAGGTGTGTGTGTGTGTGCGTGGTAATGAGGACGCGGATGGTGGGGGCCAAGACAGTGGTGTGGTATGCAAATAGGTTAGCTCGGGCAACTTCGTCGAGTTTCCCCTCCTGCTAACCGTAAGGGCTTAGCCCCTTGCCGCCGGCCTCTCTTTATCAGACTGGGACATGTCAGAGTCGCGTCGGTGCGTCTCGGTACTGCCTTGGCGCATCTGGGAACATCATGCGGGGGCAGATAGGAATCATCAGCGCATATTGAGACGTTGGCGTTATCCTAGTGGCCTTCGGTCCATCTCGCCACCGCGCCTTCGTTGTGGGTCTGAGACCTCTTGTATATGTGTTGATGTGTCGTGGGGAGCCTCTCGCCTCGTGGGGTTGGGCTTTTTGGAGGCCTCTTGGGGCCTCTTGGGGCCTCTTGGCCGCCTCTTGGGGCCTCTTGGCCGCCTCTTGGGGCCTCCATGGGGCTTCTCCGGGCAGAACTATAGAATTTTCGGTTTGTGCTCCCCTGTTTGGGGCGGTCTTGGGGTCCTCTTGGGCTGTCTTGAGCGCTTCTTAGGGCAATCTTGGAGTCCTCTTGGGCCGTCTTGGGGCCCTGTTGAGGGCCTTTTGGGCTGTCTTGGGGCGGTCTTGGGAGTTTTTCGAGCCATCTTGGAGCGTCGGAAAGCCGAAAATGCGAGAAGGCCAGAATCCTTCAAATACCTTAGTAAAATCAACGATTTGGGCCTCGTGGGGCTCTCTCAGGAGGCTTCTTGGAGCGCTCTTGGGGCCTCTCGGGGCCCTCTTCGGCCGTCTTGGAACCATCTTCGGGCTCCTTGGAGCACTCTTGGCCTCGGCAATGCGAATACGGTGTAATTTGCGATGGTTTATGGCGTCGGGGACGCTAATATCTTGTGATTACAATGGCTTGCCGCCTCGGGGACGAAACAATTCCTGATTTGCAATGGTGAGTGGCCTCGGGGGCGCGAATTGTGTGTAATTCACGCAGGATTATGCCTCAGGAACGAAACTCACGTATTTTTACATGTCCAACGCCCCCTCGGGATTCAGAGCAGGCGATTCGGACGTGGTAAAAAGTGTACGGTTTGGGGTCCCCCCCTTCGCGCAGACTTAAATAAATTCTAGACTCTTCGCGTGACCCGTTCAGGGCTCCTGGTGAGCGCCTATCTTGGCGCCACTTCACGCACTGGTCCGTGGTGAACCGCGCCATTTTGGCTGCGCGGCGGCTTCGCTGCTTCTCGTACTCGTGCTCGTGTGTTCTGCTGCCGTGGGACTGCGCGGCTTCGGCCACCCTGGGTTCTCGCAGCCTTTCAATTCGACCTTTACCGATGGTCCTTTTCGGCATCAGTTCGGCCTTGACCGATGGTCCTTCTGGCTGCGGCCACCCTGGTACTCTCGCAGTTGTCCCGGGTTCGCGCCCATGCATTAATTCCTCGGCTTCTGACCTGGTCGTCGTTTGTCCCGACTACCTGGTGCTTCCGACGCCATGTGTACCTGCATGCTGGCAGTACGACTCAGTTTCAGCTGCCCCCTCCACTCGCCGGTCCGCCGCTTAGGTGCTGCGCGAGGCCCCGCTTCGCCACTTTAGGTGAGGCTGCCCTCCGCTGCTTTAGGTCAATTCGTCGCTGCGTGCCCCGCTTTGACTGGACTCGCCGCCGGCGCGCTCGCCCGCGGCCGCTGCTTAAAAAAGTAACCCCACCAGTCCATCCAGAAACGATGCCCAGAGGAATTGCCTCGATCAGGAAGTGAGCAGCACACAGAGGAACGGTCCCCCAGTGGAGGCCTCTTGGAGCGTCTTGGGGGCCTCTTGGCGGTCCCAGACGCCTCTTAGAGCTTCTTGGGTGCCTCGGAGAGCCTCTTGGGGTTTCTTGGGGTCTCTTGGGAGCCTTTTGGAGGCTTCTTGGGCGCGTGTTGGGGCCTCCTTGGGCGCCTCTTGGGGCACCCTTGAAGCGCTCTTGGGAGCGCTGCCCCGCGGGAGCCCCGAAAGTCGCCCTCTTGGAGCCATCTTGGAGCCATCTTGAGGCTTCGGATGGCCATCGGAAGCGAAAAGGCGAGAAAAACTTCGGTGTTGGGAGGATGTTGGCTTCTTCGGGGCCTCCTGGGGAAGCTCTCTGGCCACTTGGAGCCGTCTTGGAGCGGTCTTGGGGCTTGTTGGAGCATCGTGGGAACCATACTGAGGCAACTTAGGATAGATTGAGCCATCTTGGAGGTCATCTTGGGCTCTCCAAGGCGCTCTTGGGCTCATCTTAATCAGTCCCCACCCCAGGAGGCAAACATGTGGCCAACATCTTAGTAAAGTCAATGATTGTGGCATTCTCGCCGAGGCCTCTGGGAGCGTCTTGGGTGCCTCTGGGGCGGTCTCTTGGGGGTCTCTTGGGAGCCTCTTGGGCGCCTCTTGGGGCCTCCTGGCCACCTCTTGGGGCCCTCTTGGGGCACCCTTGCAGGCCTTGGGAGCGCTCTTGGGGCCATCTCGGAGGAGATCGATCAAAGAAGGGGGGTACCTTAATCAGCCTCGCCTCCCCAGGAGGCCAAAATGGGGCCAAAACCTAAGTAACACCAGTGATTTTGGTTTCTTCGCCGAGGCCGTTTTGGACGCTCCAATTACCCGCGGAACCCCCCGTCCATGTACAGGGGAGTGGGTAGGGGGAGGTATCAAGACTCCCGCCCCGCCCGCAAGCCGTGTCGCTCACTCCCACCCGTCCTCCTTACACATGCGTAGCACCCGGGTCTGGCCCGAGCCTCAGCATATTCAGCAGTCGTCTTTGGATGGGCAGCCACTGGGGGCCAGTCCGCCGCCGCCGCGTCCGCCGCAGCCGCAGCCGCCGCCGCCGCAGCCGCCGCCGCCGCCGCCGTCGCCGCCGCTGCCCGCCGCCGCCGCCTCCGCGCCGCCCGCCGTCGCCGCTGTTCCGCCCGCCGCCGCCGCCAAGTGTACTTTGTATTGTTTGTTGACATGGATGGTGGAGTGAGGCCGCATCGGGTTGGCTGCACATGTTCTGAATTTGGAGGCAGAGTGTGTTTTGTATTGTTTTTTCAATGAATGGTGGTGGGGGGGGGCCCTCATGGTTCCTTGTTGGCTACCAGTCGCCTGGGGGGGGTTACTAATATGGAACAATGGTAAACCACTCCCCAAATGTGAGGAACGGGGTTGGATGATGAAGCCCCCTAGACCACCTACGCCCTAAAGGGGTGGTGGGATTACAGCAGGAAGCAGGAAATACGGTTATAGCTTTGGAGATTTGAAGCTTGAACTGGCGCAGGGAGCAGCAACCTAATCCTACAGCCAGGTGGCTCCACAAGAAGGCCGGCGGATTCTCGGTGGTGCGCCGCGGGCCCCCTGGTGTTCCGTGGAGGCGCCGGCCTCTGGCGGGCCCAGCGAGACCGACGGAGAACGGGTTCGGCTCCTCCCCGAACACGCCCCTCGCCCAGCGCGCGCGTTCACCCTGCCGCCTCGGTTCCGCGGTTTCGGCGGGGGCCCGAGGCCCAGCATCGTTCAACCGATCCCCATCCCCGCTGGACCATAGTATTTCAGCTCCGCCAGCCCACCCCCAAGTTGGGCTAGGCCCCGCGAAGCCCGAAGGGCGCAGCATGAATGATCGAGGTCCTGCCCACCCACCCCCATGCTGGTGCCTTCGGGACCCCCCGTCCCCCGCGCGATAGATCACCCCCCTTGTGCTCGTCGTCGTCGTCGTCGTCGTCGTCGTCGTCGTTTTCCCCCATCCCATCAGGGGGGGCGGGGGCTTGTGAACCTTTTTGGCCCAGGACCATACATCCGCATGCAGGGGGGTGGAGAGGTCAGCGGGGCCAAGGCCGTGCTCGTGGGGATGGGGATCGGCCAAGCGAAACTCAGAGGCGCTCGTGCTCCGCATGAACCTGCTCAAGCACGACTTCGGCGTGCACGTGGTTCGGCAGAAGAAATGAACCAAAAGGTCCTCGCGCGCGCGCGGCCGCGGGCATCGGCGGCCAAGGCATCAGCGGGGACCGCGGCGCGTGGCGAAACCGAGCGGCTCTGCTTTTTACCGATTGTCTAGTTGATTGTGCGACGCCGCACGCTGGTTTGTTGAATGTTGTGTTCTGAGTGTTTTCATGTATGTTGCTAAACGGTGTCTAACTGTTGTGACATATTGTGCATGGTGGTTGATTTGATCATGTTTGTTTTGGCCCTAGGGTGGCTCGTGAAACGTGGGTTTGGTGCCAACCGTAAGCCATTTCGGGCTGTCTGTGTCCCCAGGGCTCCAACAGTGGGGCGGATTTCCATTGACGTCCCCAGCGGGCCACATGCCACTTCGGACGCATGCTGTTGCCAGACCTACACTCCTGGTTGTTTCGTGCTCCACATACTCTTACAGGTCGTTTGTGTGTCAGTCTCACGCGAGAGTGCCGTGTGTGAGTCAGTTTCGAGAAAGTCTCAGGCCCGAGCCCTCCGCCCCTTTCTTCATGGGTTCGCAGGTCACATCAGTACTCTGAGGCGTTCATGCAGACACTTGCTGTACATCTATTCAAGTGGCTTGCGCACTGCCGCCGACCCCAAAGGACAAACGAAGTCCACGTGTCAGGCGTTTTGCCTCTTTGGAATCGCTTGAAAGACATGATGGGCATCTTTTGGGCATAGAGGGCGCCTATTGGAGCCTCTTGGGGTTCTGTTGAGCGCTTGCTGGCAGTCTCGGGCGTCTTCTTTGGGCGGAGGGCCCAAAATGGAAGTTCGAGCTCCCCGTCTTGAGGCTCTTTTGGGGCCGTCTTGAGCGCCTCTGAGGCCGTTCTGGGGGGCTGTTTGGGGCCTTCTGGTGGTCCTCTTAGGGACCTCTTGGGCCGTCCTGGAGCGATCTGTGGGGCCTCTTGAGCCAGTTTGGACGCCGTTGACACCAAACGGGTGGATCTGCTAAAAATGTACGCGGAATTGCTGCGATGTTGGCCTCTTAGGGCCCTCTTGGAGGTCCCCTCGGAGCTCTATGGGAACGTCTTGGAGGCTTCTTGGACCGTCTTGAGGCTATCGTGGACTCTTGGGCGTGTTGGAGCCCTGCTTGGACAAATTTGCATTGAATACCAGACATCGTGGAGGCCATGGAGTGTAGAAATCGAAACTCCGGAGGCCCCAGGGGTGCGTAGGCGAGCTCGGCCCCCTGGGGCACCCCCTGGGCTCCCCCTCTGGGCCCACTCCGGGCAACGCCCCCTTCGAATCGGACTGCAGACCCCAGGGGAGGGGGGAAGGGGGACGGGAACAGCCGATCCTCGCACACGCCTTTGCACCCCCGGCGAGCGAGGGTCGGCGGATGTGTGTCGTGATCATCGAGTCGCCAGAATTTCACTCGCAGTACTGATTTCGACTGTCCTTGACAAAATGTAGGGTAGCTTGGTGTCCGTCGAGCTCCCAGACTGCAACTCCCAAGCCCCAGTTTACATGTCCGGATCCAGCTGCAAGCACCTTCGGGTTTTCCGTGTTCCAGAGCGGTGGTTGATCTTGCAAGTCCAGAGTAATGTGTAATTTCAGACAGTTCGTGCTCGCAGAAGGCCACTCATGGGATTGATTCTGAATGTCCAGAACCAACTGTAGGCCACTAACCCTTCGGGTTCCCAGAATTCCTCTCCAGAGTTTCAGTTTGCGCTCGCTTCCTGGCACTTTCGCTCGCATCCTGGCAGCTGAGCGTCCTGGGGTCACTAACATCTCCAGCATAGGCCCCGCAGGTCTGACACAGAATCGTGCCCCCACTCGCACAGCCACTCGCACAGGTGGGTCCCAAGACGACTTCCACGACAACCAAGATGACACCAAGACGGCATCAAACCCTCGAGCGGCATCAAAACGGGCCGAGTGACCTCTAAGACGGCTCCAGCATGCTTTCCAGGGGAGCCTCGGAGGGCGAAACACATGAACTTCCGGCAAATTTGCGTGCAGGATCTCGAGGTTCTCACCAGCAGGCCGCCTACGAAGATGCCAAGGACGACCTCCAAATCCATGGCAGCCTATGAAGTTGCCAAGGAGATCTCCAAGTCGGCCCTGCAGGATGAGTAAACAGCTCCCCGTCGTAGGATTTTTTGGACCCGTCTGACGCCTTCGGAGGCCGTCTTGAAGGGTGACACGGGATTCGGTATCCGTTTCTGGTTTCGGTACCATTTTACCGCTGTTTCAGGATTCGGTACCGCTATTTGGTTTCAGTACCACGCGAGTTGGTTTCAGTAATGCGGTTATTGGTTTCAGTGCCACTTCCCGTGTTCTTTCCTCTTCTTTCTTCTCTTCTTCCTCTTCTCCCCCCTCTTTCCCTTCCCATCCTCTTCTCCGTCCTCTCTCCTCTCTCTTTTCCGTCCTCTCTCCCCCCCTCTTCTCTTGCCTCCCCCTCCTTCTCCCCCCTCCTCTCCCCATCTCTTATCTTTTCTTTCCCATTTCCTCTTCCTTTCCCATTCCTCTCTCCCCTCCTCTTCTCTTGCCTCCCCCTCCTTCTCCCCCCTCTTCTCCCCATCTTTTTCCTTTTCTTTCCTATTTCCTCTTCCCTTCCCCTTCCTCTCTCCCCTCCTCTTCTCTTGCCTCCCCCTCCTTCTCCCCCCTCCTCTCCCCATCTCTTTTCTTTTCTTTCCCATTTCCTCTTCCCTTCCCCTTCCTCTCTCCCCTCCTCTCCGCCCCCACTCCCCCGTACTTCTATGGCCGGCACCTTCGGCTCCGGTCCTTCTTTGTATCGGTGTCGACCCACGGAACAAACAGTGCCGCTTTCGATTCTGGACCCCTTCGGGCATCGGCGGCGGTGGCGGCGGCGAGGGTAATGACGACGACGGCGAAAATGCATGGTGGCACTCACCGCGATGATAAGACATCTGTTTTTGAACGCCTTTTTGCTTAGTGCATGTTCCTCATGTCTCGACCCTGTCTCACATATAATCTTCTTCTGAAGTGGGAGAGATCACGCCGAGGTCTACGCGGCGCGGAGGAATGTCGTCTAAATTCTGTATCAAACGTCGGTACCGAAACCAATCCTGAATACAAACTTATAAACAATACCGAAACCTATGGCTCAAGGGCTCAGGGCTCAGGGCTCGCGCGCGACCCCCAAAACCTACATCTGTTTACATTTTTCCCTCCGCCTTACATTTATTATTTGCTGATCTTTGTTTCTCGCCCTCGCGGTGCGACTATCTGCGACGATCTTTGCGCAGTGGCGAGTCAATGGCATGGGTGGCTGGCGGGGCGGCTGGACTTGCTCAACACGTGGATTGATTGGGTTGGGTGGGGTTCTTGGGCGTGGCACTGGGCCTCCTCAGCAGCCCGCAGTACCAATACTTTTATGTCGGCCCTCCAACGGGAATGCTGACATGCGACGGCCATTTGCAGCGGACTCCAGCCAGACTACCACGGGGTGCCCGGTTTCGGCCCGGTCGCACTGGCATGGGGTTGGTTGCTTGCAGGCCTTGGGTTCGGAATCTTAATCGCATGTATGTTATTCCTGGGACGTAGGGGAGACGGTGGACCTCGGAACATCATGCAATTACCGATTCCAGGATGAACGACACAGAAATCCTTCAAATATTACTTGGTATAACTATAGGCCCTACGACAACCACCGGGTTTGGAACGGGAAGACGGAATTAGTGCACAATCCGGGTAATTAGTACGCTTTACGACTGCTTCCGCAACTACTCGTATACCGGTGCTCTTGTTTCTTTTTGCTGTACTTTCGTCCTTACCGCATCGCCATTCAACCTTTTAATCATACACACGTATTGTATGAGAGGTTTCTATCTAGATGTGACCCGAGAGCCCCGGCAAGACCTTTTGGTGAGAATCTACATATGAATCGATCTTCTGTGGCCACAGCATGTCGTTCTTAAAATTTCATGTTTGATTTATTATTCTTGCATTCCTGCCTGTTTTGCTCCGACTCTTGATCTTGCTTCGATTCCGGTGATTTCTGACATTTGTTCCCCATTTTGGTCACGCTTCTTTCTCGAGCTCGATGAACTAAAATCGCATTTCCAATTTCATGGTCCGATTTGCTTTCCCGATTTCACGCGCCAATGGTGGCACCGTCTTTCCAGCTCCAGACATTGAGAATAATGGAATCAAATGCTAGTGTTTTGCAACGGTTGCACAAGTTCGCTTGGCCGAAAATATTATATTTCAAGTTGGTTTTCTCTTACGGTGTCCTGGATATTTTTGGCGTCAGATATGTGGTATTCTTCAATCGGTCATCCGCATTGGCAAGGAAAAAAGTTGGTGAGGCCAAGCACCCAGGGCCTCGAATTACTACGGAACAGGCGGTATCAGCTTCACGATCCGTAGCGTCCAGCCATCGTTGCCATGATCACAACCAATACGAACTGCACCACAACCAACGCGAATTGCACGGGAGCGCGCATTGGACGCCCTTGAATCTTCAGGCCTGAACACTACGATGTGGCCACCAATTCCAGCTCCAATTGCGGCAGGGGAATACAATTGGATTGAGCCGTTCTCCCCACTGAAGGATTATTATTACGACCGACCCATGTTCTTCCTAATCCTCCGTCTGAGGAGCGGGAAGTGAGTCGCACGCTTAGGAACCAACAAGCAGAAGTACCACCTCATGAATCTCTCCCTGTCCCACATTGTTTTTTCCACTTGCCCACCCCTCATGACAATCCCAATCGATTCATATTTCCTTTTCCTCCGCCCACCGCTCCCTCCCCATTAACATTATCACCCTAGCGCCCCAAATATACGTCCAAGCCCTCAGACTGGGTTGATTGTCCCACACCTTTGCCGCGACGTGCTAGTTCAGAGCTTCTTGGACGCCCGAAAATTTCAGGCCACGAGATAATGCCAAACAGAAGCGCGGCGAAAATACGATTTCAGCCCATCGGGATACAGCTTCGACCAAGCTCTCCGTTGGCTTGAAACGTTAGGTGTATGAATGATTTGGACGATGGTGAATACCACAAACTCCCGATCCCAATTTACTCCGGAGATTAGATCCCAAGCGCCGACTTTCCCACAAACTCCGCCAAGCTCTACTGCAGTTTGGTTCGCAAGGGGACTTCCAAATAGGCAAATGTTTTGCCTGAGCGAGAAGTTCGCGTGACATTGCACTGCCTTCTGGATTTCTTTGATCAGCTACT